GTAAGAAATGTTTTGTTTTCGTTGTTGTGTCAATTCTAAGTTATTCTTAAAACTATACAGTGGCAACGAAGAAGAATATGACCTTAATAACTATTGCAGTTTGAATTCTGAGGCCATCAAGTACCCCAAATCCTGAAAAAAGCATTAAGAACGAAGCGATCCACTATCCATAGTAGATACTGTAAGAAGCGAAGGAAAATTGACAGTTCGGTCTTTTGACATATAAAGGTATTTGGTTTATTATTTACAATATGGATGTAGCTCTATCTTGCCGCACATACTGAGATGGAGAGAATGTGTCCCAGGGGGTGTTGGGGGGTTTGCCCCCCATCAACCCTCCCCTTGGGCAGTGCCTGAGGTGCACGCCTAGTCACGGCATCGTAAATTGCTAGGTTAGGTTGGGTTATGGGTTAGGATGTTTTTTGGTGCTTGGAAGGTGTGAAATCCCGTAGATTTTGCCGAAAGATGCGTTGTATTCCCGTAGAGTTTTTCTAATTTTGGCGGGTCAGTGCGTAGACTTTCAAAGGTGGCGGGCATGTCTGTAGAGTTTCATTAGCCGATTTTTAATAATTTTTGGGCTATTTTTTTGTGTTTTTGTTTGCTATTCTTCTTATTTATGCCTGTTTTACCCCATAACTTCCCTGATATACTTCATGCTAACGGGATTAACAAATAAAGCTTGTCGATAGAAGTGGTACTCAGATCTCATCAACAAAAAACATCAAGAATCGTTGAAATCAGTGGACTTCTATTCAATTCTTTCTACTGTTTGGATTGCTTTGATTTTAACCCAGTGGCGCCAGGCATGGCATGTACATACAACTCATGCCCCATTGTGTGTGTTGAACTTCGTAAATGTTTTTACATATAAATGAATCCACAAGTACTGTCAGCAAAGAGCCAATTATGTGAAGTACTTGTCTCACCTGTTTACCATTTTCCTTGATTTTCGATAATATTTTCTAGTATTTAATAGCGCTGTTAGTAATGTCAGTAACAATATAGTAAATATAATGTTTAGAACAACAATGAGAGTAGTAATATCGATAGCATTAGTAAAAAAAAATGTTTTCTTCCTTTTCCAATGAAAAGGGAGGTTGCAAGATCAGTAAATTTGGAAAAAGGTGTCATCAACACCTTTCGGGACGAAACTAAATTGATTTGATTCCTATTGTTTTTGTTCGGTTGATTCTGGTGTTCGTTTCCATCACAAATGGCTTGAGTGTCTTTTCCATACCAGAATCGTGCCACTTTATATCAAGAGCTGAGTGTGAAATTTTCAATCTCTACTGTAATAACGGTACCAATTGTCACTTTTTTGTCTAATGCAGGGGGCACAGCCCCCTACAACCCCCCAACCCCCGCCAAGGAAACATTCCTATTGATGAACAAGTATCGGGAGAGATATTGTTGGTAATATTCGGGTCTATTAGCCGGACGTTTGACCCACTCTTTCATGTCTCTCCAGAGTCTTTTCACATTCTGAGTATGACTTTCTCGGTCACCAAGATCAACAAACTCTTTGGAGTGGTTAATAACACGGTGTGTATAACCCTCCTTGTCGAGACCAAGATAAGCTCCCGAACCGTCACTGCAGATAACGGTCCCTGGAAGGATATACTTCCTTATCATAGGGACCAGAGTGTCCTTATTTTGATTAGGAGACAGGGGCGGCACTAGAGGAATAAGGAAGGAATTCTTTGACTCCAAACACCCAGATGTTACTTAGCTTGCGTCCACGACCTTACTTCTGCTTCCCAAAGCACGACTTGTCAATCTTGATAATGATATCCTCCCCTCCTATGGAGTCTTGAGTTGAGAGCCAGTGAGCCGTTACTTTGGAGCAGAAGCTCCTCCAGTCAATGCTCATTCGTTCTGCCCACCCAAGATTTTCAAATATCATTTTGTGGCTCCACTTCTTCTCCAGCCAGTGATTAATAAAGCACACAATTTTCGATGGAAGGACATGTTTCTTCCAGAAATGTTCCTTTAAAGTCACTGATGGAGAAGGAGCACTGGTTCTGCCGCTTAGTTTTGGCAATTTTCTGCCAACGGCTTCAAAACCACCGACCACTTCTTAATATACAGGGTAAATTGCAGGATTTACACAGCACTTGAGAGGGTAGCTAATAATTGAAGGCTAGCCTCGTAGTTTTCAAAATAGTTTTTAATAACCTGGTAGGGTTTAATGCGACAACCTTCACACACAGACTAATTTGAAAATTGAATTTCATAGCTTCTATTTTAGCTAATGTTCAATCATTGGATGTTTCCTTCATGAATTCTTTCCCCATTGGCCATTAAATTAAACGGACTGTCTGGTCATTTTTCAGCAAAAATTGAATTCATCGATTTTGAGTTGTATGCATTTTCGATGAGTTTCTGACTGTCCGCGTCTCCCCTGAAATTTTTAAGTCCCCCTGCAATTTCTAAGGCGGTAGCTGCCACCTTAGATACACGAAAATATTGTGAGTTTTCACATTACCTTCGAAAATTGCCAATTGTGACAATAGAGAGGCATATAAAATATAAGGGTATCTTCAGAAAGCATATAAAATTCTCCAAAATATGAGATCAACATGCATTTTCTATGAATTATCAAAAAAATATGGAAAGATATTGAAACTAAAATAAAGATTTTTTTTTTTATATAAAATTCAAAACAAAAATTATATGCTGTTTTTAGAGAAGCTTTTATATTTTTATCTTTGGATCATATTTCATCAGTTTTATCCTTCTGCCAAATGTCTTGAACATAATGAGCCCCCCCCACCCCCCAAAAAAAAAAATGGGGGTACTTTTGGCCAATACAAGTTACCCCCTCGAAGATGGATTTTTACCTACATTCTGTCAAAAGACTTTCTAGTTTACCATATTTTTGGAAAATTACTGAAAATAATAAAAAATATGTATACACAAAAGGTCAAATACACGGTTCTGATCTGTATACACATACATATCATCATCATCATCATCATCAATGGGGGCGCATAGCCGCATCCACCCTCCGCTTCCACCTACGAGGATCCCTCATGGCTAGACACCAGGCAGGGACTCGGCCCATCTCTATTTCTTCACATCAGGTTTGGTCGATCTGCCCAAGCCACGACTTCCTCAGTCGTGGAAGTTCACAGGCCTCCTCCACCCAGGGTTGTCTCGACAGAGACAACCTGATGGGCAGGATCATCCTGAGGAAAGCGAGCCAGGTGGCTGTATAGCCTGAGTTGGCGATCACAGATTGTGCAGATAACAGGTCCTGTGCCAGTCTCACGGTGCAACCGTTGGTTGGACACATGGTCCCGCATGATCTGGCGCAAGGACCTATTATAAAACGCTTCAAGATGAGCCTCCAAGACACAGGACAATGTCCAGGCTTCGCTACCGTATAGCAAAACTGGTATTATCAGGGCCTTGAAAACCCATAGCTTGGTCCTTCTGCACAGGTACCGACATCTCCAAATACTCTTGTTGAGAGAGTTCATGACCCCTGCTGCCAGGCCAATCCGTCTGCTGACTTCATGGTCTGATAGTCTGACTTTCCTTTTTTTTTTTTTTTTTTTTTTTTTTAATAAAATCGCTATTATTAATTTGTGAGACAAGTTTATATAATGAAAAGTTATTATTAATTAAATATCTTCAAGGCTATAAGGTTAGTTTCCATTGATTCAATGGTGATGCCTTTTTCCAATAATACCGCAAGATCTACAAATTGACTCCTTTGTGGCTAAGCATTGGCAGAGCCATATATGTGTAGAAACATTTAACCAAGCATTGCCAAAGGGAAATCAACATTTTCTCAACGTTAGGTTAACCCTTTTTTTTAGTTGTTAAACTGGGATGATTAATAAAATCTATTTTTTCTTTGTTGCCACTGTATTGTCTTAAGAATTACCCATAAATGTATAACAGTAGACACTGATAATTTGCCAAATATTTTGACAAGTGCGTAGTAACACATTAACTACTTTGGATATCGCAGTAATGAGTTATGCAGTCAATGTTGTTATTTCTGGCAAGGTAAACAAAGTAAACCTTAGAATCTGAGTGGTGATATGTAGGATATATTTTTTTCATTTAGCGGTGACTATGAGGCTGCTTAAGGGGACCGTCCCTGAGAGGGGGGGAGGGGGTTAAATTAAGATAGTTAGCGTATAGTATAGGTACATGGATGAGGAAACTACCAAACGAGTATTAACCGCCTGCTATGGCTCGTTGTCTTGCAGCCGGCGTGCGAGTCCCTCAGCACCCGGAGAGGTACGTCGCTAATGAGCGCCCAGGTACACCTATGTGGACTTTTGCTTGCGGCAATCGTGCATAAGGCATTTAATTATGACATTGCGCATAGATATGAGTTCGTGAATGTTCAAGGAACACTTTTATACCAATATCAGGAAAAAATTATATCACCGTGATTTATGACGAAATATTTTGTGAAATATATCTAAAAAAAAAATGTATGTTTTGTGTCCTTTTACACACGAAATATGCTTTGATCGAGACTCCCTGGTAATATGTTTTAGTTTACGTGGTAATATATACGTATATAACATACGAAGCACTAATGTTTAAAAATAGCCTTATAAGGAAGGATTGAAATATTTCTGTTACATTTCGCTCAACGGTCAGTACATCACAGCAGGGGGCAATTTGAATTGATTTGAAATTGGTAGTTACCGTTGTAAAGACCAATTCAATACGAATGTTACCTAAATGTCAGATTTTTAAACTTCGGATGTATAAGCGAGATACAGATTATTTCATGTTGAAGATGATAGTACTCAGTAATACCTGCTCTGAAATAAAAACTATATGGAATTTTGAGCTCGGTTGTATGCGTAGTCTTTGTCTGGCGTCCAAAAAGCCATCGCATCCGTTTTGTGCGTTCCCGATAAAAATGAATATGTTTAGACGTTACCGTAAGTCTTAGGCACCATAAATTGGCAAATATCCCACAACACCTAGGCGTCTGCATGATTTTATGCACTTCTTAGTAAAGATAA